ATGATCAACCAAAAAAAAAAGAAAAAAAGAAGAGAAATCTACAGAACACTTACCTAATTACCCAATAGGAATCCCAGTAATAAACTTCTCTGAACCTTGAACCCGGAATTACACACTGCTGAGGCAGAGGAAGAAGAGTATGGAACTCAGGCCTCTTGTGGACCCCATCAGAGACTTTGCGGCTCAAATTCTTCCAAAGCAAATGCACCTCCAAAGCCCAAGCCCTCACTTCTGGGTTCTTCACCTTGGGCAAGAACCCCTCCGGCTCTGGGACGAAATCCTCTGGCTCAGCAAGCACCATATCCTCCCCTGCATCCTCAAAATACTCTGCTATGAACTCCTTCAAATCCTTTACTGATGCAGACCCGTTTGCAGACTTTGGAAGCTGATCAAAGGCTGTCTGAGTCTTCGATAACTCGAACTTGAGCGACAAATCGACGTAGAATTTTGGGTCGAAGTTGGTTTTTCCAAAAGTGGCGAGCGCAGTTTCTTGGAGCCGATCGAAGAAGGCGACCAATGGAATTGTGGGTTTTACAGGGCCTGGTTCAGAAGTGCAGGCTGACGAGGCTTTTGTTGTGAAAGTCATGGTTGGCAGTAAAAGAGAGAGAAGAAGAGAAGAAAATAATGAGAATGAAGAGTGGCTATGGCTGGGGAACAGAGAGCCCGCCATTGTTGGAGAAAGAGAGTGGAGGTTTGAGATGGGATTGGTGACAGAGAGAGGACGAGGAGAGAGAAGCAGAGCACATGGTCGACGTGGAGATGACAGAAACTGGAACTTGGGAAGAGGGCAAAAGCCGGCACTTCGAATTTTTTGGGTTTTTGGGTTGGACTTGGTTTCTTTCTATCCATCGAATGAATAAGCTTTTGGCTTTCGACATAAACAATGCTGGGTTGACAAGATAGAAACAAAAGCTACGTTTCAGTTTTGTCCTTTAACATCACCACTGATATGCTCTATTTTGTGCACATACATATTTTATTCTTTTGATCAAATTGTATTCTCAGAAAAATTATGTGGATTAAACCTAAAAGGGTGAGAGGTTTGTAGTTTAAGTAGTATGTAAGGATGAATTTAATCGATTATAAGACAAATATAATTCGTTTGAGCTTAACTGAATCGATTACGCATATAACTTGGTAGATTTAAAACTTACCCAATCAAACTTAAAGCTCAAATGAGGGGTGGATTAGATTCATTCATCTGGTGCAGTTTATGAGAATTGAAAACGGTTTGTTGAGCACAACTTGTTGCACAAGTGAGCAGTTTTGTTCTTGAACTTTAGTGGTAAATTCGTTTTTATATTTATATTCTTCAACTTTAATATTGGAAAGGAAAAAAGAAACACAAGATTCGTGGTCATGAGAGAGAGGAGGGTTAGAGAGAGAATAGATATCATATTTTTATCTTTTTTAAAGTTGAAAAGAATACTTTCATTATAGAAATAAGAAATAATAATAATAATAAAAAGGTCAAATATGACAGTGGTCCAAGGCCAAATTGCATGGTTACGCGACAGCAGCACAACCAAGAACCATGTGATGTGTGAGAGTCGACTATGGGGACTTTATGAGAAGAAAAAAAAACTAAAAAAAATTTGCCAATTAACAACCCAATCATGTGAAAACTACATCTACAATGCCCTTTTTTCCATGTAGAAAAATTAAAAAATAGTACGACGCCATGCCACATCTTATTTTCCTTACGTATGTTTATAATACGGCGTGTCGTTCAATCATGAGAAGAAAATAAGAACAAGAACAAGAGACAGAAATGAAGGGGAGAAAAGAAATATATATATAAAAAAAAGAAGGGTGGGGAAACTCCTCAGATGTCCCTTGAGTTCCACATGGAAGCTGAAACTGTTTAAATAAAGCTTCGGAAATTGGAACGATAGATGTACAAAAGTGACAGCCAAGAAATAATTCATCATCGGAGCCTGCTCTCACCCAAATTCATTCAACACAAAATTGCAAATAGAATAATATAAATAAATAAATAAATAAAATAATAATAATAATAATAATAGAAGACTGAAAATACAAAGGCTAGAAGCCAATACTGAAGCCGTCCTAGCAAAAATCCCGCCGGCATTGAAAACCGAGAAGAACGAACCACGACGGTTTCTTCTCTTTTCTCTAAAGAAGATGAAGAAGGAAAGAAAAAGAAAAAGAAGAGGTCGATTGTGGGAGTTTGTGTAATAATTATTATTATTATATTAGTTAATTTTGGGACCAGATGAATAAATAGGCATTTAAGCCCAATAACAGCCCATACCCTTTAAGCCCAATAATAACCCGGTTTGAGGTTCCCTAATGAAATGAGGCAGTGCCTTCACTGCGGCTTCTTTGCTACTTGCAACGAGAGAGAGAGAGAGAGAGAGAGAGAGAGAGAGAGAGAGTAAACGCAAAAGTAAGAATTAAAATTTATGATTTCCCACACGTTATTAATATAATACATAAAGCAATGAATGGAATTTGTAACGTCAGGGTCAGAACCTGACTCGAGGATAACTAAGAATCATGACCACAAAATCTAGAGATGATTGAAAAGTTGTTTGAACATTGAAGGGATCTGTGGCTGGTCAAAATGATGTACATGTTATCTATGAGACTGAAAGTTGTCATCAGGACACCTCAGCTGAGCTACTTTGTAATGCAATAATCTAACGTACTCTAAAAAATCATTAAGTTCATGAACCCAAGCACTTCCTAAAATTGTTCTAAAGGCTTTTTGTGGTCCACGGTAAACCTGGAAGTCTGGATTTTAGACCAGACGGAAGCAGAAGACAGCCTTCGCCAGGCAGAAAAGCAGCAGCTCCCTGGTTGACTGGTGTGGTCAGTCTGAGCCTCTCCAGGCCTTTACCACACATGACATAATCTGCTGACTTTCAAACTGAAACTGAAAAAAACAACCACTAGTAACTCACACAAAAGATTCCACTCTCTCTCTCTCTCTCTCTCTCTCTTCCCTTATAACCTGACTTAATAAGGCACAGAAGGAGGAGGAAGAAAAAAAAGCCCAAGAGAGGAGTGAGGCGTTCTAAGTTCATGGAGCGGTCTACCTCCCCACAAAAGCAAACCAAAGTTCAGGCATCAAAGAGAAGCTTGAAGGAGAAGAGAGCAAGGTTGTACATTATCAAACGTTGTGTGTTCATGCTACTATGTTGGAGGGAACATGCAGATTAACAATGGTGGTAAAGTTTCACCATCCATTTTTGTTGTTCTAGTTTTGCAGTAGTTTTAAAAAAAAGTTTTATCTTGTGTACCTGGCATTGTTGTTAATTGCACTAGGATTTGTAGTGTATGTATGTGTGTGTGTGTGTGTGTGAGAGAGAGAGAGAGAGAGAGACAGAGAGGAGAGATGTGAAGATGAAAACATCAAATTGTAAAGATAAAGTTGTAAGTTGCACTATTAATTGTTCCAAGTGACTATAACTACTTTCTTCACAACTTGGTGCAGCAGTAGCACCATGCATTCCAAGTTAGAAGTTACTATAACTACTTTCTTCACTATTTGATGCAGCAGTACCTTTTAAGAGGAACACTAAGCCTATAAGATGTGCACCATTTGCACATTCAAGAAACAGACATGAACACATCCAGAAACACGAGACAGATAAGATACAAAAGAGGGTGAATCACCCAAAATAAAATTGTAAAGAGGAAGCTTGAAGGTGGGATTAGCAAAATCATAACTGGAGTTTTAAAGTTTTGAATGTGTTCAAGTTGTCCTTCTCAGAATCCTGGATGCGCCAACATCCACATATGGTTCCAGAAGAGTTTCATTGGCATCAGGGACATAAAACTCAATTTGGGAAAATTACAAATAGCCTCAAGATACAATTCCTGAAGGCCACTAGAGTCAACAGACTCTCCACTGTTTCACTCACAAAATAGGAAGTACCATGACATTCAACAACAAATAATTAGATATGCTCTTAAAAGTCGGCATTCCACCAGGAAGTTAGATGGATGGAGAGATAGATAAAGGATACTCGAAGCTAGATATATGGCCACATTCCAAAAACTAATATAAGCAATAGATTCTCAAGAAAAAGGGTTGAGATCATAAGAGAGGCAAAAAATAAGGGGTTTAAACTGTGTCTATACAAATCTATGCAGAAGTTATTTCACTTACAGAAACAATGAACTGAATATGGTGGGATCTATAAGGCTATGTCACCGACTCACCTACAATTACAATTACCAGCACATGACATGTTGAATAAGAACACGTCAGTGTTCTTACTTGATCATGTGAGAGAGCAGTGCAGCATTAAAATGAGCTATTCAATACTGTGAACAAAACCCAGTAGAAGTTTCCTATAGACTGACATTAGAAATAGAGGGGGACCACGTCCCTTAAGCCAAATATGATACATTTTATACACTGCCCTGAACATATAATTTACTAATCATACTGCCTTGTGAGCATATTTACTAGGCATGTACTGCTATCCTACAATGGGAGAGGGATAAAAAACTCATATATCAAGTATCCAATTAGGAGATTATGAAAACACAAACCCATAATTCTAAATCAACTTGACAACGTCCTATCCATTGATTAATTTGTTTTCTCAAAATAGTGCACCAATCATTATTTGTCCTTCCAATCCAATGATGCATATGCATAAACTCAACTCAATTCCACTCAACAAAATTTTTGAATTCCAATCATTGTAAATTGGAGGTTTACTGAAGCTTAGCCTATCCAATGTTAAAATTGGATCTTCAGTCCGTACAATGCATGAACAATGCAACCAAACAAACTGCAATTCCAATGAAACAAACATAAATTAACCTCCTCCGGATTAAAGAAAAGAACTTTATTCAATTTCAATATGTTCTATAAAAATGCTAAATACAGTCGTCATCGACAAACATTACACATTGACAGACTCGCATAAAATTCAGAACCAGAAGCTGTTTTCATAAACCCTAATTACACATAAAACCAAGATCTAGTGTAACAACAATACCACACAGAGAGGGGGAGATCAGACGGGGAGCTCAGCAACGTCGTTTGGAGGGTCGCTGTGATTGGTGAGGGTGAAAGGGCGGTCTGCGGCCTCGTCCTCGTCCTCGTCGTCGAAGTCGGTGGTGGCGAGGTTGACGCAAGAGAAGCGCTCGAGGGAGGAAAAGAAGGCGGTGGAGACCGTGGCGCTCACCCAGCTCGCCACCTGGTCAAGCTTCTCCCGCGATATGATACTATTGTTCCCGTTTTCCATTTTTCTTCTTTTCTTCTCTTTTCTTTTTTGGGAGTTTCATTAAAACACCCAAAATGGAGGTTGAAATTATAAAAAAACCCCAACACCCAAAACACTTTATAAACACACCCAAAACCCATCATTACACACACTCAAAACCCATTTATAAACACACCCAAAAAGTTGACTTTGTGGTTGATTTTGGGTGTGTTTCTATGTTTAAATAGTACTTGGGTTTTTTTATAAATACATGTCTAGGATTGGGTTTATTTATAAATTTGTATTCTTTTTACTCTCTCAGAAGTTGAAAATGAAGGCTCATGTGATTTTGGTTTGAATTTTATATTCATCATTATGTGGGTCACGGACTCCTGGGCTAGATGGGTGTTAGATTAGTTCTAAACGGCCTATATAGGTTATGGGCCATGCTCCATTAGATTTAATTATTATCACAGGTTACGGTCAATCACGCATGCGATCTAATCCATGCAATGCTCTATTTAGAATTAATTACAATAATTTTTTTTATGGGTAAATATAATTAATTACAATGGCATGTAGGTAAATTTTGACCGTTTATGTATTGTGAGTCTCGCATGCATTAACGGTTAGAAATCCCTCATCTTCGCATGTGTAATTAATAAAATTACTTGTCCAATAAAGTTCAACAGAGCGTGCCTTAGTTCTTATTTTTCCACCACATGGAGCTTTGGAATCTCTTGCCTCTTTTCGTCCCTTATGAGAAAAGCCTACGGTCCATTGTATCTCTTTGATCATATGACTAGAAAGGAGAAATAAAAAGCATGAACAATATAAAGGCTATGAGATATAAATTCAACGTTTGTCCACACTATCAACAAGCGCATCTGGTGTAGTGGTATCATAGTACCCTCCCACGGTACTGACCAGGGTTCGATTCCCTGGATGCGCATTTTTTACATTTCTGTGAAATTAGTTTCCTTTTTTTTTCTGTCAGATTATGAGAAACCAGTTTTTAATTTGAATTTTTTGGGTTGAAAAATGTGAAACAAGTTTAGAAGCCCAACCTTCTTCAATGAAGAGTTTAGAGTGAAGTTTATTTACAATGAGGAGTTTACAGAGAGAAGCTTATTTGATGAGTTTAATTTGACCATCTAAAATGTTTTAAGTCCATTGATTTTCTCACATTTGTTGATGGTGGGATTAAACCCTCAAATAAACTCCTCTCTCTCAGCAAATACAAAACTAAGTAAACCTTCACCATAACTTTCCCATGGGTTAAATCCTCCATGTGCTCAGTCTAGGTTTTTTTTTTCTTTTTTATTCTAATGGACTATTAACCAAGTGCTCGTTCAGCCAGACAGTATTAAGTGAATCAAATATGAGCATAAAATCCAACTTTTTTTTGGTTACATGGGAGGAAAGAAACCCCTTGGGGTTTCGAGCTGGATGCCATGGGGGAGGGGGAAAGAAACCCCACGTTCATTCTAAGCAGAAGTTACTATTCTGAGCAAAAGATTAGTCAACTTTTCAGAACCAAAACAAAAAGAATCATATTTGTGGGTACATGCAATACAAGTGCACTATATCAAAATATTGCTCACATGCCACGGCATGCACAAGCTCCAGAGTTGTGTATTCTTCCGAGTTTTCATAACATTTTATCTACGATGACTGCAGTATCTTCTTGTAGTCCTCAAAAGAGCCATGGAATGGTGCTATCCTACCCTCTGATACCACCCACAGCTCATCCACACTTCCAGAGATAAGATGCTCATCGTGACTAACCTGTAAGTAATAATAACACACGCCTAGTTATGCACAAACCACAAACAAACAAAGATAAATCAACTTTTGTTGCGAACAGAAATCGTGACGAGATCGGGATAATGTACCATGAGAATGCCTCCTTGGAAGATAACAAGACCTTGTATTAGTGCCTCCACAGCATCCAAGTCCTACATGTCAACAACCATTGCAAGGTGAATAAATCAACAATCAGTCAAGGTGGAGAAAGTTCTAAGTCCAGAATACCGTTCTTCAAAATATTAAAAAAATGAGAAGGATCATGACTAACCAGATGATTGGAGGGCTCGTCAAGCAATATTATGTGTGGTTTCTTGAAAGTTATCTTGGCAAAAGCAACTCTGCTCTTTTGACCACCTAATACATGATGCAACAATAAAAAATAGATCCCATTTAAGCATTTAGAGAATAATGCTAAAATCCATATAGATCAAGAAAATCAACTAATATCTTTCAAGTATTGACAATATGGAATAAAGAAAATACCAGATAAAGTGTACATTGGCTGAAGTGCTAGATTTCCAGTTACACCAAAAGAACCTAAGTGAGATCGGAGCTTTTGTTCAGGCACTCCCTGCAAGAAGGATACTTTATTATTTTACATTTAAAAAAAGAACAATAAAAAGGCATCCCTTAATAGTAAAAGCATGGCACTTCTAAATAACAAGATTATCTGCCAAAACGAGATTAAAATTACAAAGGGTTTATCCATCTAGGGTCAGATAAGGCTGAGGCCTTGAACAACATTTTCACCTAAACTTGGGTCTACCAATGGAAACTTGTTCATGTGGTCAAAATGACTAACAGTTTTGGTACCAATTCCCAAGTCTAGTTCAATGATGCAGTAGATAGGAAAAGGGGAAAATATCATGTTTAGATTGGAAATATCAGCAGATGAGGTCCATGGATTATATTCTAGTTTTAAAGCAAAATTATCCTAACCCGGGTATGGAAATTCAGAGGGGTTTGATTGCAGGATCCTATCCTGGATTCTCATGCATACATAAAGAACTTCAAAAGCAACTCACAGATACCACCCTTCAAAACATGAAAAGATAAATATAACATATAAAGGGAAAAAAGAAGAAGGTAATAGCAAGGACTCACCGGGTAGCATCGCATCATATACAATAGGGGATTAGAAGATAAATCTAGCCCGTCAACATGGTGCTGACTGAATACAGCAATCCGAACCTGTAGAAATATAAGTCCCCCTTGAGATTCAAGCATATAACGTAACTCCAACTTTGCAAGGAGATACAAAGGCCAAATAGCAGTTACTTTACGTTCTAACACAAGGCACATAATGCAGAATACAAGTATTTGCATAAATAAATAATGATAACTATAACCAAATTAACTTGGTGGACAGTGAGATGTTAGTTAAAATTATCCAGTATAGGTAATCCCGCAAAATATGCAAGATACCTTAGCCGAACGGAAAATTGTCCCAGAGATTGGTTGTAGCTCCCCTGCAATTAGCTTGAGTATTGTTGATTTACCAATGCCATTTGGCCCAACCACTGCATAACAATTTTGACACCACATATACAAGGTGAATCATATGTAAACCATCAAGTATGGAACCTTTTCAAATAGAAAAAGATTAAACTAGCATACTTACTTGCTATGCGGCTGTCAAGGTCAATTCCAAAATTTAAATTCTTAAACAAAACGGGCCCCCCAGGATAACCAAAAGATGCATCACTGCAAACACATACATCAGAAAGATCCAATAAGCACTTGATCTAAGCAATTAAAACAGAATAAACTTGAAAATAGAAAAGAACACAAACAAAGGATCTCAGGTGACTTGCAAAAACCAAAGAGGGAGCCGACCTGAAACTTATTATAGGAGGACCAGGTCTGTCGTCTGGAGTTGGGAACTCAAATTTATAGCTGCATATGAAAGGCCAGAGTTTATAAAGATAGAAAGAAAAAGCAGAAATGTTTCTAGAAGCTCCTATCCATATAAGCCACAAAAACAAATCGGTGCATACTCAGGGTCATTTACAATCTCGTCCACATGTCCCAACCGGTCCAATGCCTAAATCAAAGTAAAGAAGGAATATCAGTTATATTAAGATTATTTGTACATGAAAAAGTTGTCTAAATCAAAATTTTATTAACAGCCAAGAAAGCAGAATTCAGAGATGTTTACAGTTGTTAGAAATGGTTTCAGGAACATGCAAAAATACAATAAAAATCACCTTAATTCTTGATTGAACAAGTGCGGCCCTCTTTGCATTGTAACGGAACTTATCAATAAAAGTCTGCAGATCAGTGTAAAACATGTGAATGCCAAACACAAGTTACTGTAATTCAAAAAAACATGCCATTGAGAGAGGAGCAAGATGACAAAAGAAGATCAAGAAGAAGAGAGAGTACTTTAACATCTACAAGACATGATTCTATCCTTATTATTTAAACAGAAATCTACATGCAGAAAATTTGAAAATAAAACGAGAAAATATGTCCATATATCTAAAAATGAAGTTGACTAGGAAAATCAAATTAGTAATTATTGGTAGAAGCAAACAAAGGCTAACAACCCTTGGTACCTTTGCCAAAGCAATAAGGAGACAAAAAAACAAAAAAGTCATATAGGTGGTCAGCAGAATTAAGTTGAACAGCTGTAGACATCAAGAAAATAAGAAATAGAATAATAGAATAATTTTTTCATTAAGATAAGATGAAAAACCTGCATATGTGCTCTTGAACGTTCGTTGGACTCAAAAGCTTTCTGTTGGTTCTTGACCTGTTCAATTCGTGTCCTCTCATATATATCATAGTTCCCCTTGTAGGCATTTAATTTTTGCCCATGAAGATGAAGGATATCAGTGACCACCTGAAAATACAGAGCATAGAATGAGGTATACTAAAGGACAGTGCACGTGTTACATAAACTATACTCATTAATACTGTTGTTGATATGACCAAATGAGAAACTAAAGCACACAAGCACGTTACCGTGTTCAAGAATTCTCTAGCATGAGAAACAACTATACATGTTTTCGGCCACTTCACCAGGTAAGTCTCCAGCCAGAGGACAGCATGAAGATCAAGATGGTTCTGGAAAAATAAAAAAGGACATGAGGCGGAAAAATGAAAACCAGGCACACAGAATAATATGAAAAGCCTAAAGGGGTATATGAACAACAGACCGTGGGTTCATCAAGTAGTAACAAATCAGGCTCTATAAACAGGGCACGAGCAAGAGCTATTCGCATTCTCCATCCTCCAGAAAATGCTTTAGTTGCTTTTCGCTGCATCTCCGGAGAGAAACTAAGACCCTGTAAAATTCAAGGTCAGTAGGATAGTAATTCAGAAAAATGAACCAGCTGACAAGCAACAGTGTAGGTAAAGGCACAACTTCCTTTCTCAGCTTAGAGGAAATTCATTGCATCACACATGCACACATCCAAATGTACCTGAATGGCATGTTTAAGTGCCAGCAGGCAGGATTTTCTGTTTCATTTGTTAGTATTGGTGGTTCAGTGATTTATACCATTATTGATAGGTTCAGCATAACAGCAAAGAAATTCAATCTAGAATGAGATTGCATTTTCAACTTCTTACCCCATTTCTTTCTGTTACTATTTATTCTAATTTTTGGAGAGTTGAAGCCAGCCCTAAACATCATAAATTTTCATGTCAAAAACCAAGTTTAATTCATGTAGAGACTTAGATGATTGTTGCAGAAATGAATGGAGTACTGACCGCAAGAATGGAAGCTGCACGTGACTCTGCGGAATCAGCATCTATGAACTCAAGCCTTTTGTATATCTCCTGAAGCCTCCGTCCAATAGCATCTTTGTCAATTGCCCCATTGCTCGTTTCTGTTGATTCCTCAAACTCCAGTTCTCTCTTCACGTTATAATAATTTATTTTACAAATTTATAAATAAACCCAATCCTAGACATGTATTTATAAAAAAACCCAAGCACTATTTAAACATAGAAACACACCCAAAATCAACTCCAAAGTCAACTTTTTGGGTGTGTTTATAAATGGGTTTTGAGTGTGTGTAATGATGGGTTTTGGGTGTGTTTATATGTTTAAATAGTGCTTGGGTTTTTTTATAATTTCAACCCCCATTTTGGGTGTTTTAGTGAAACTCCCAATTTATTTAGCACAAGAAAGGAACATGTAAACATTAATCCATCAAGAACTTCTTCTTTTTTTGTATAAAAGAAGAAGACTGAAAAGCTAAACTCTCCTCTAATTAAAAACAATATGGTATTCAACCTGTTTAGCGAGGAGACGAGCTTCTTCTTCCATAAGCTGAGTTCTTTCAACATCAGTGTTCAGAACACATTGCAAGGCTGATGTGTCATCACCCACCACTTCTTGCTCCACATGCAATATTTGGAAGTTCTTAGGAATGCCATCAATGGCATGCATAGCCAAGTGCCTAAGAAATGTTGTTTTCCCTGTACCATTTCTTCCAACAAGGCCTGCATGAATTGAGGCACAATCTATTATGTCAAATGCCAACTGAAAATTATTATTACAACTACAACATTATTCAACAACCTCAGAGATAAGAAACTCCATGTACCACAAACTCACTATTGGGAACTCTAACAAAAGGCCCTCTCAACTTGAGAACCAAATCAAGAGCATCTTAATCCATGAAAAGCAAACTCACCATAATGCCTTCCAAAAGAAAGTGTTACTGAACCATCCACAATTAGATCGCGGCCACCCACAGAAACATTGAAGTTCTCCAGACGGATATCCTTGACATTTGGCCCACCAATGCTTTCATGATTCACAGATACAACAGGCATTCCTGCCCTAACTGCTTCCATTTCTGCTAAATGTATCTGATATTGTTGCTGTGTAATAAAAAAGATAAAAACTTATAAAAAAAACTGAACAAATCTCTTTCAACCAGATAAATCATCAACACCAATAACAACCTAGCTCAGATATAACTTCAACCCAATTATACCCACACTCAACATGGCCCAATAATATTGTACCCCAAGATGATAAAAAACCTCGCATAAGCAGTAGGATATGATAAGTACAGCTCACATACTAAATTCCTACCTACTTCATTGGCATAAACATATCTTACACAGAAACCTTACCTCTCTTTGGCGTTCATCCTTCCTCTTTCTTCTTTCTATCTTAGCTCGGTCACGTTCAGTTAACAAAGGGCCATCAACCACCTCAACCTTCTTCTTTGGAGCTTCCCCCTCATCCATCCCATCATCCATTCTAACTGGTGCTGCAAGGCTCCGTACAGTTGGTTTAGCTTTAACCAACCCATGCTTGCCAAACTTTTCGGATATTATACTACAAACCTATCCCAAAAAACAAACGTCAGGAACAATACAAACCCAGACTGAGAGAGCATTTTTCACGGAATCAAACTGAATAGCATTGCCAATGTCCACAAACAACCTCATCTCAACTAAGCGTCGCTAATAACATAAAGCCTACAATTCCAAAAATCTTTTTCTTTTCTTCAATTTCTCTACAAAGCAACGTCGGATTCAGTTTCATGGAATACACATCGAAAAGAAATTGAATTCATAACAACTGTCCAGTATCTCAAATTATCAAATCAGATTCAAAGCAAATGCTATAAGCTCAGCGTAGCAAATAATACAGTAATCTACTCATCCTAAACCAGTTTTACTTTCTTTCCAGATTTTCTGAGCAGCCAAACAGACCAACTCAAGTGTAAGGAAAAAATCGCAGACTCACCGAGCGACACTCAGCAATGTCGCTAACACAGCCAGCGCCGACGAGGAGTTCGCCGAGAGCGTCGAAAGCGCCTTCTCCATCGTCGCCGAAATCGAAGTCCTCATCGGCGAGGACGTTAACGATGTAGTCGATTATGGGCTGGTCTACGTCCTCGGCCCTCCGGCCCAGCACTTCGTGAACTACTGAGCTCGCTACTGTCATTCTCCGAACCAAATTCAATTCCAAAAACGAAAATCAAGATTTCTGTTTCGTTCACTGCGCAAGGGTTTTTGCAGAGACTGAAGAAAAACGATAGAAAGCTCGGCGTTCAGTCCAAAAAGAAGGGTGCTTGATACGACGGCGTTCAGTTGAGAGGGCAAATATTCGTTTGTTAACAACCAAATCTGAATTACGGGCATGGAAAAAAAAATTGGCGGGTGTGAGCCCAGCCCATTTCTTCTGGCCATGGGCCGAACTAATAATATAGATGGATTGGATCCATTTGTACAACAGGCATAATAATATTTAATTTTAGGTACACATGGGTAGGCAATCGTTTCGAAATACTTTCGTAAGAAAAACGTCAAAAAAATTATTGAAATTCCAAGAAGTATTTGACAGTGATTCCTACAAAAGTAAGTGCTTCTACAAAAAGCACGAAAGCACTAATGAGTTTTTATGCCAAACGTTATATTTGATTGTCATGAAGCATTTTTAGCGCAAAAGTTTATTTTTGGTACACATGGACTTATATCTAGTGGGTCCCATTTGGGCTCCACAATGCCACATCACCAACTTAGATTGGTGGAAACTTGGTCAGTTCCGACAAATTTACCAATATAACCACATCACATTATTAGTTTTAATAGAGTTTGATATGGGTTTGATGTTAAAAGGGAAAGTGACCGACTAAATAAGTTATTTCAACTTTCAAAGAAGAATGTAGGATTTGATCAATTTTTCAAAGGGCACTGTAACAGTTAAGACTAAGAAACGAGTAGAATTTGTTTGTTTTTTTATTAACGTATTATTGACATTATTGAATTGATTACTTTACTGAATAATTCAAAAGGTTCTATTCCCCCTTGGACACGAGTCCAACTTGTGAAAATTCCATATAAGCTTCAAAGCCCGAGCCCTTCAAACGTGTCAACACCGGAAGAACTTGACCAGGTTGACCCGTCCAAGGGTCCAGGAGCCTGCTCCCAAGCAACAGAATAAATGGCTCCCAAGCAACAGAATAAATTTTCCAAGATTCCAAACGCAAGGCTACGAATTGTCAGTCTCTGCTCCATTGCTCACATCGGCGACGCTTGCAATCGAAGCTCTCTGGTTCTTTCTCAGCTAAGAAAGGCAATTCAGAAACCTAGAATTCGCTGAAACTGAAGTGTTGGAGATGAGGCTGCTGAAGACTGCAACGTGTAATTTGAACCAATGGGCTATGGACTTCGATTGCAATTTGAAGAACATCAAAGAGTCGATAGCTGAGGCTAAAGAGGCTGGGGCTGTGATTCGGCTTGGTCCTGAGCTTGAGATTACTGGTTATGGCTGCGAAGACCATTTCCTCGAGCTCGATACTGTTAATCATGCGTAAGCTCTTTGGATTTCAAACCATTCTTTCAAAGTTAAAGTTTTGAAATGAAAAAAAAAAACCACATTAAAACCAACTTGGACTTTAGTTTATTTGCTGAAAATGTATCATATTGGGGTCTCATTTGTGGATAAATTATGTGTTTATTAAAACAGTTAACTAACCATGATGATTTTTAAGTTATTGTTAATGGTAATCTCTTATGGTGATTGAGAAATGTGATTTTTGCAGATGGGAATGCTTGAAAGAGCTCTTAGTTGGGGATTGGACTGATGGTATATTATGCAGCTTCGGCATGCCTGTGATCAAAGGGTCAGAGCGTTACAATTGTCAAATTCTTTGTATGAACAGAAAGATTATCATGATACGCCCAAAGATGTGGCTTGCGAATGATGGAAATTACAGGGAGCTTCGTTGGTTTACAGCATGGAAACAAAGAGACCAACTTGTGAACTTTCAGTTGCCGAAGGAAATTTCAGAGGCTTTGTCACAGGATTCGGTGCCTTTTGGTTATGGGTACATTCAGTTTCTGGACACGTAAGTGCCAATGTTATTAGCTTTATTGTTGTTAGTCAGGTTAAGACTCCATGTATCACTTGTTGCTTTTGTAGTTCCATCCGTACACTGAAACGTAGGATTGTTTAGGTGAGAATGAAATGGTAGAATTTTTTTTTATCCCTGTTAGATATATAGGATAGTGCCACAACTGCCTTGAAAGTTGTCTTCATTATAGTTCCTTGGAATTCATTGAGTTAACTACAAAATTCATGATTATTAAGTTTGGTTGGGACTTTGTATTTGTCCACGTTTTAGAATCATGCCATCATAACACTTTGTGAGGACTTTGTTTTGTGTCCAAGAGGTGGGCGTTGGTTGATCCCACCTCTGCGTTATCTGAAATGTGCTTCAGGAAAGCCCATAGCTGATGCAGATGGGTCAAATGCCTGCCTAAGTAAAATTTGCAGGAGTTGTGAGCTTTTTTCAGCAGTCAGCATAGCATTTTTTGTATAATAAGTTCACTCGTAATCTGATTTTATGCATTTCTAAATCTTAAGCATTGTTCCCTTATTAGAGCTGTCGCGGCTGAAATTTGTGAAGAGCTTTTTACTCCCACTCCTCCTCACGCCGAGCTTGCATTGAATGGGGTTGAAGTGTTTATGAATGCAAGTGGAAGTCATCACCAACTAAGAAAGCTTGATATTCGTCTTCGTGCTTTTATAGGTGCTACTCACACTCGTGGAGGGGTGTACATGTACAGCAATCACCAGGGGTGTGATGGTGGTCGCCTATACTATGGTACGTGACATTATTTTTTCTTCAGTGGTTCTATGCAAATTTTCTTAGGATAATATACTTATCAGTGCTCCATATTTTAAGTTAAGGACAAAATACTGTTTTGTTGGTGGTATTTTGGGTCTATCTCTTATGGAATCTCCTTTTAGTGTTATAAAAAACTTGATCTTTAATTATTGTTATGTGATGAATAATGCATCTATTTGTTGAACTATGAGTAATTTGTTGCAGATGGTTGCGCTTCTGTCGTTGTAAATGGAGATCTAGTTGCTCAAGGCTCACAATTTTCGCTGAAGGATGTTGAGGTTGTAATTGCCCAAATTGATTTAGAAGCGGTATGCGATTCTTATCACTGCTTGTATGTGTCTGCTTGTTTCATTTAGACGCTACATTAAATTGCAATGACTTTTATACGACAAAATAACAAATATTTGGTTCATTTCTTTGAGTCTAGTTTTCTTCTACTAGTACAGATTCCTTGAATTTCTTACAACTATAATTTATTACTTTACTACTTTTGCTTCTGGCGTAATGGCAGGTTGCTAGTCTTAGAGGATCTATAAGTAGCTTCCAAGAGCAAGCAAGCTGCAAAACCAGGGTTCCTTTTGTGGAGGCGCGATACAACCTTTGTCAGTCTTTTAATCTAAAAATGTGCCTTTCTAGTCCGCTAAAGGTTAGATCCAGTTCTAGCAAAAACCAACTCAAGTAGTTGGGATAGTAGTTTTTTCAAAAGTTGAAGAAAAGCTTTTGGCTTTCCAGTCTTGGTTCATCACGAGATTGCCTACAAATATTTCTGTTTTACATCTCTGTGTGTTTCAGACCTTATCTTACAATATAACAAAAGTGATATGCTTTAACATGCTTTCTTTGGTGGAGTTTCCAGTTATGTGGATAAGCTTTGTCCTTTTGACATTATTTATCAAACATTGCTTCAATTAATCAAACATTCACATTTATAAATGACTATATTTTATGATCTGCAGATTAAGTATCACTCCCCTGAGGAGGAAATAGCCTTTGGTCCTGGTTGCTGGTTATGGGACTATTTAAGAAGAAGTGGAGCTTCTGGTTTTCTGCTTCCCCTTTCTGGAGGAGCAGATAGCTCCTCTGTAGCAGCTATAGTTGGTTGCATGTGCCAGCTTGTCGTAAAAGGTTAGTTTTCTTAAGCCTATAATCGGGTACTATGATTTTATTTTTCATGTGATTGACTTTTCGGTCGCATGATGCATTTCATGTAGAAGGACCACTTATTTCTGGATGTGTGGATGGGGTCTGTAACCATTTCTTACAGGTTTATCATAAGAACTGGATGTATACCTTGGCCTTGCGAATAGAAATTACTTATGCCACCCTTAGAATTATAACGTTTTCAACTTAATCTGAGCAGCCTTAGCTCACAACTTAGTCAAAAACTAAGCTAACCAGTGTTTCAGGTTAGGAGAGTGAGCATAGAGGTATCAGTTAGTCTCTCCTTTGAACTTGTGTAAGTAATCAGGGTGCAGTAGAGGCAGAAAAAAGATCTCTCATATCTTACTGGGAACCATCTAAAAATCATCCTCTGAATATATAACATTCAATTATGATGGACTCGTACATGCAGAAATTGCAAATGGGGATGAACAAGTCAAAGCTGACGCGATACGGATTGGACAATACAAGGATGGCCAGTATCCTACTGACAGCAGAGAATTCGCAAAACGCATATTTTATACTGTTTTCATGGGATCTGAAAACAGGTGAGCCCATTTACACAAACAACAATTTCCCTATGCGTGCCGTGTGCCTGTAATATTAAATCAGACATCGGTGGAATTTATAAATTATTGCTTGTGGTGTTGCAAATTGCAGTACTTAAATTGTTTTACAGGTAAGGTAGCACTAAAACCTTCTCTTGGATGCTATATGATTTTTCATCTAACAATAAGATTGACAATTAATGTCAATGTCCTTTACGCAACTCTTTTTGTGGTTTCTAATTAAGGTAATTTGTGCTTTGCTGTGCATATCTAATGTCAGCAATTCATCTGAAATCATCACAGTTTCTGTATAAAAGCAAAGGTCTAAAATGCACTAAATTGGGGAAGGCACCATAATTCATCAATTGATAATCCTGGAAAAGGTCTTTTAGATTTTAAAAGCACCTGAGAACCAATTATTAACAAATTAATAAAGTTTCCATTTGTAGACTTGCAGTAGATTTTATTATCCCAACTCCTGCAGATACGTGCTCATAATATGATATTATAGTAGTCCAGTAAAGGGGTTTGTTCCTTGCAGCTCTGAAGCGACAAAATCAAGGGCAAAAGTTCTAGCAGATGAAATTGGAGCATGGCATCTTGACGTGTCCATAGATGGTGTCATTTCCGCACTTCTGTCGTTGTTTCAAACTGTAACAGGAAAACGACCACTATACAAAGTAAATATTGTCTGACTTCAAATTCTCCCCTCCCTCCTCCTCCTCATGTGTGTATGTATGTATGTCTGTATGGATTATGGTCATTGGGATTTGACCATAATTACATTAGAAACTGTTAATAATTGTGCTTTAAATTGATTCTTCAACATCGTTTTATTTTGATAGGTAGATGGAGGATCTAATAGCGAGAACTTAGGTTTGCAAAACATTCAAGCTCGAATAAGAATGGTGCTGGCTTTTATGTTTGCGTCACTCCTACCTTGGGTTCATAATAAACCTGGGTTTTATCTTGTTTTGGGTAGCTCCAATGTGGACGAAGCATTGCGTGGTTACCTCACCAAGGTACTGCATTATTTTTACTTGTGGTGTATCTGTAATAAATGGTATTACTTGTGGGCACTTTCTCGTATCTTAATAATCTTGACCTGCCTACTAGTTTATATGTAAGTGCTCTTTTTGCTTTTCCTGCACAGTATGACTGCAGCTCAGCAGATATAAATCCTATCGGAAGCATTAGTAAGCAGGACCTTCGGACATTTTTGCGATGGGCTGCCACACATCTTGGTTACGCGTCCTTGGCAGAAATTGAAGCAGCTCCACCCACTGCTGAACTAGAGCCTATACGTTCTGATTATAGTCAGGTAACAACGGTTCAGTAATTTTTCTTCAACTGTATAACTTTTTGCAGGAAACATTCTTAGGGTAAAACCCACAGAAAATGCTTTATGCTCCTGTCCTATCCAAACGAGATAGGTGAATCTGATACTTCATTCTTTGTAAAACAGCTGGATGAAGTGGACATGGGAATGACATATGAGGAACTCTCAGTCTATGGAAGGCTGCGGAAAATTTTCCGCTGTGGTCCCATATCTATGTTCAAGGTTTGTCTAATGCCTTAACTTTATTCTTTCATAATGGCTTTTACGGAGACCACAGAAGTAGAAAGTTTTGGTGTGTGCTCATTTCCAGGATCAGTTCTAAGAGGACAGATTTACTTGTTGCATTATCAATTCTATAGAGTGGTGGGAATCTTTTGCAGTTCTCTAACTCGGTTCCGATTTCCTGGTTACAGAACCTCTGCTACAGATGGGGTGCAAAATTGACTCCACAAGAGGTGGCTGACAAAGTGAAGCACTTTTTCAAGTACTACTCCATTAATCGACACAAAATGACTGTATTAACACCTTCGTATCACGCTGAGGTATGAATATGCTGAACTTAAGAAACTAACTGCAGACTAGAATGTCAGTGCTATGAAGCTTATTTCTGTATCTCATTTTGTTAACTTCGTGCAGAGTTATTCGCCAGAGGATAATCGGTTCGACCTTCGCCAGTTTTTATACAATGCTAGATGGCCATACCAGTTCCGAAAGATTGATGATCTTGTGCGTGAGTTAGATGGTGACAGGGTTCATTTAGGAGAATCAAGTGAGCTAGACAAGTTGCGTGACGCTTCACAAGGTGGAGGTGGGATGGGAGTTGTGGCAGCAGGCTCAGGCAATCCAAATGTTGGACTCTAGGGTTTTCTCTCTTTCATTTTAATTTTTTTCCTTCGTCATTGAAAGAAAACAGATAAGCTATTGATTGCAAGGATGCCTATTTTTTCAAATGTGCATGTTTTTCCGTCAAGGGATCACTTGTTCATATTCTCTCCAATACAACGGGTCTGGTGACTGACTGGTCTGTACATACATAAATGTTATTACGTACCGTGCTACAAGAGGAGACATATTTTATACGTTTATAGGAGGCTAGCTATTATACATTTAGACTGCAACAAGATCACACAAATTTTATCGCATGGCTCAAGCTCAAGGCAGTGCAAGTGCAGCCAAAGTTATTATAGTTAAACTTAAATGATGTTTGCTACCTGTACAATACAAACAAAGCACTTCCAAGTCTAAGTCATACTGTTTTCTAGTCACTAAATCCACTAGAAATTAAAGGTTTGATCGATAACTGAAAATATGGTAAACTTTGGTTAGAAATTAATTAACAACCAATCCATGTATTATAGATGATTCTATATACGTACATATCATACCTGATAGTGCCTTTGGATTAGGAAATTTAAAAATAAAGATTTCATAAATGACAGAATTTAAAATGACAGAAATTAATGTTCTAGAATTTGTAAAGTTTCTTGTTTGGATGACGGATTTAAAACACGGAATTTAACCTTTATTTGTAAAGTTATCTTTTTTAAAAACTCAATCTCTTTTAGAATTTTAGAAATGACGACTTGTAGATAGAATTTATAGTTGGGATTTATGACCTCCAAATTTCATGTTTTTTCCCACTCGGAATTTCTAAATTTCTATATTTTTTTTATCCAAACACGGGAATTGGTTCATGTCAATTTAGAAATTCTGAGTTTTGTCAAAATCCCAAGTTTATTTCCCTCGTTCAAACGTTACTTGAGGGTTTTGAACTTGAACTTTCTCACCAAGCAGGCGTTGCACCTTTCCCTGTTATCAAAATATTTCGAAGGTTGTTTGCTATTTCCCTGTTTCAAAAATTTCTATTTTCTCAACAACTAAAGAGCATTGAGAAATTTTTGGAGTTGAAAACAAAATGAAATACAACGTAAGCATGTTTTTAGGGAGGCTAATTTCACTGCTGATGCTCTTGCTGGGTTGGATCATGGGCTGACCCCATCCAAATTGTGGGAGGGTGGGCTGCCTCTCTCCTGCTCTGTTCCTTTTTATTTTGACCTTCTTGGGCATGCATGCTCAAGGGTTTTTTGCTTGTAATTCTATTTCTGCAAAAAAAAAAACAAAAAAGAAAAAGGTGAAAGCTCTCAAACCATTAAAATATTCTATTTTTTGTAATGTGGGATATGAGATTCCAAACAGAGTGTTAGGAAAATTAGAAATTTCCTTTGCCAAAAAGCATTTGAATATGGATTTGCAAGAGAAAGAGGGAGACAGAGAAAGAGAAAATAATAATAAAATATTTAAAATTAGTCAAAATAGATAACATTGTTAGAGGAAACACCTTTTAAATAGTTTGCTATAATAGCTTTCTAGTTTTATGCTCTAAGGAGATACTCTTTCTTTCTGCAAATTACAGTTTGACACATGCAAAAATAATTCATCAAAAATACAAAAAGAAAAACTTATGCAGACATGTCACACTACTATTGGCATGAATGTAGAAGCTCCAACTTACATGGTAAGAAAGAGAAGTATTTTTCTATTTTTCAGTGGTCAAATCGTTCCTCCATCGGTTGGGCCCAACCCATAGGGGTAAGATGATGCCTATATTTGTTAGGTTCCATCCAAACACTTGTGATTTTCTTTGTTGTTGTTAGGTTTTAAACACTTTGATCTTCATTAAGAAGATGGAGAAAAATGTAATTTGAGGCATATTATTGTTTATACATAAATATACGCATTTTAGTAAAATGCATAGCGTGATTTGAGAAACAAACCAACCAAACTAATAAAAACTGTATCCTTTATCAAAACAAAGAAATTACACGTAACTAACAAAAAGACGAGACAAATGTTTCACCACTTCCAAAAAAGACAATCGAGGGAGAAGAAAATCCGTCTCCCTCAACTTCCCCTTCTAACCCCCCATCAAGAAAAATTACAGTAAAAAGTCTCCTTCCCCTAAACCTATAACCTCATTTCTCTCCTCTCGCTTCCACTTTCTCACAGTGGTCAATAAAAGTTAAAAAGACTTTTTCTAAAGCTCATCATGTGAGTCCTCGTCCTCCTCTGAGGCTGCTCCGCCACCTGGGGCACCACCTGACCTCTGGTAAACAGCTGTGATGATGGGGTTGCATACGGCTTCGACCTCCTTGAGCTTCTCATCATAGTCTTCCTTCTCCGCCGTCTGGTTGTCGTCCAGCCATTCAAGGGCTTCCTTTGTGGCGGTCTCAATCTTCTCCTTCTCGTCGGACTCGAGCTTGTCAGCAAGCTTGTCTTTGTCATTGATCTGGTTCTTCATGTTGTAGACATAGGTCTCTAGGCTGTTGCGGGCATCGATCCTCTCCTTCACCTTCTTGTCTTCTTCGGCAAACTCTTCTGCCTCCTTAACCATGCGGTCGATTTCCTCCTGGCTAAGACGACCCTTGTCGTTTGTGATGGTGATCTTCTCGGATTTGCCAGTGCCCTTGTCTTCTGCCTTGACATTCAGGATACCATTAGCATCCACTTCGAATGTGACTTCGATTTGAGGAGTTCCCCTGTTCAATTGAGAGAAATGAAAACTGTTAAATCCTCGGAAACAAAGGGGTGGCAATCTCAAGGGAAGATTAAATGGCAGCAGAAACAAACCTTGGAGCTGGTGGAATTCCTGAAAGATCAAATTTGCCAAGGTTCCTACAATCCTTTGTGAGACTCCTTTCACCCTCAAAGACCTGAGATCAAAAACAGGATTGAATCCATATTAGCATCGGAGTTGCATTTTTGTGAAAACACTAAATTAAGCATTTTGGGACCATCGAATAAACAAAGATCGATACCTGAATGGAGACGGTAGTCTGCTGATCCTGGTAAGTGGTGAAAACCTGGGATTTCTTGGTTGGGATCACAGTGTTTCTTGGGATAAGCTTGGTCATCACTCCGCCAACAGTTTCAATACCGAGGGTGAGAGGCGCAACATCCAGAAGAAGAATATCTAATATCCATAGGAAACATTTGTTAGTAGGCATTATAATAGTTCATCCAATTACCCTTTTCAAATAAATATATCTTAACTGCCCACACAGGCGAGAAATGAGCATACCTTTGGTTTCTTCACCACCCTCTCCACTCAAGATGCTTCCTTGTACAGCGGCACCAAAAGCAACTGCTTCGTCGGGGTTCACACCCTTGTTTGGCTCCTTGCCATCAAAGTAGTCCTTAAGAAGCTGTTGGACCTTGGGAATCCTGGTGCTTCCACCAACAAGAACGATCTCATCGATCTGGCGCTTCTCCAAGCCAGCATCATCCATAGCCTTCTTCACAGGTCCCATGGTCTTTCTGAACAAGTCGTTGTTCAACTCTTCAAATCTGGCTCTGGTCAGTGGTTCAGAGAAGTCCACTCCGTCAAAAAGTGATTCAATCTCCACACGGACCTGGTGCTGGCTGCTGAGAGCTCTCTTGGCACGCTCAGCTTCCCTCCTCAATTTCCCAAGAGCTCTGTTGTCCTTGCTGATATCCTTTCCGTGCTTCTTCTTGATCAACTTGATGAAGTACTCCATAATTCTGTGATCAAAGTCCTCACCTGCAGAGATGTATGCACACATCAATAACAGACCACACAAATCAAGTATGAGCAAGTAGTAAAACAAGAAAAAGATTTCTCACCTCCCAAATGAGTGTCTCCATTTGTGGCAAGAACCTCAAAAACTCCATTATCAATTGTCAAAATACTGACATCAAAGGTACCACCGCCAAGATCAAAGACAAGAATGTTCTTCTCACCACCCTTCTTGTCCAAACCATATGCGATGGCGGCTGCGGTTGGTTCATTGATAATCCTAGCAACATTCAGCCCAGCAATTACACCGGCATCCTTAGTTGCCTGTCTCTGGGCGTCATTGAAGTATGCTGTGAATTGAACAGGAAGACAATGTCAGGGGCATGACTAATACGACTATAAATACAGGAGGCTATTAAGTTGAATATATGTTTTACTCACCAGGAACAGTAACAACAGCATCCTTGATTTTCTTCCCAAGGAATGCCTCAGCCGTTTCCTTCATCTTAGTCAAAATCATTGCACTGATCTCCTCAGGGCTGAAAACCTTTGTCTCACCATCCTTGATCTTCACTTGGATATAAGGCTTTCCATCCTTGTTAACAATCTTGTAAGGAACAAGCTTCATGTCCTTCTGGACCTCTTTGTCCTCAAACCTGCCAAATAATAAGCACCAGTCAGTATTAACTTCCAACCAGCTAAAATGATTGCAAATCATTAAAAAAATAGCGAAAAACACATACTTTCTTCCGATAAGTCTCTTGACGTCAAAGATGGTCCTTTCAGCGTTCACAGCTGCCTGATTCTTTGCAGCCTCACCAATCAGTCTCTCACCGTCGGTGAAACCAACCCATGATGGGGTGATACGGTTACCCTGGTCATTGGCGATAATTTCCACATGACCATTCTTATACACACCAACACAGGAGTAAGTAGTTCCAAGATCTATCCCAATGACCGTTCCCAACTTGGTAGCTTCTTCTTTTGCGATCGAAATAGCAAAAAGGCACCCTGTTATAAAGCTCTTTCCATGTTAGTACAGATATGAAGCACATATGGTAAATGAAGAAATGAATCTCATTCAAACAAGGCATTAGCGCGTCAAGCATCACGCGTCGCATAATCAGTACATGAAACCGTAATCCTCGTTGAAAGGAAACTTTGGCTATTATTACATTTTTGGCATAATAATAGCATGAGATTCCAGAAGAGTTGTGAATACATAAAATATTTAAAAAACACTACTAACAGCTGTTCATTGATCACTATCATACCATTTAAAACGTATACTTCCCAGTTATAAAACAACCATTTCTATAACATTGCGATTATAATGGTACCATAATGGGAGCAGGATCTACATTTCCTTCATGTTTGGCCATTTTTATTTAAACAAAATTCTTCAAAGTATCTGTTGATTAATCCTAACAGCTGTTAGTAAGAGTAATATTGTGACTCTTCTTACCTTTTGTTTCATGTTAGCTTGACAGAAACAAAATCAATCAAATAAATTTCATACACAAACAAAACACTGCAAAAAAACCATTCTGATAGCTTATTCATGCTTAGTTCTGCAAATCACTTAGTCAGATCCAGAGGCACACACAGTGGCACAGATATCAAACCAGTCACTTACAGATCTCAAAAAATCACATAATTCAATCAATAAACACACACTTTAATAACTTTTTCAATCTAACTAGATCTACACCTACGGTTCAACGTACTTATGCAGAAACTTATCCTCCGCTACTTCAATTATGCACAAAAATTCACTCATCCAATAATAAAAACCATAAAAAATTTCAGATTGATTCGTAAATCTCATCGGTTATGAGCTACGAACATCCTCTAACACACTAAAAACAATCAAATCACAGCCAGATCCACCGCATTTTCTCGACCGAAAACAACAATCCATAAATCGTTAAAGAAACAAACTAAGCAGATCTAACACTGAATAACCGAAACACTCACCGAATGTAACGATCGCCAACACGATCAGAGACCTGCGTGCTCTCCAGGAGCCAGCCATGGCGTCTGAGCAACTCCTGAAACCTCTCTGTTTCTCTGAGCTTCTCTGAGATTCAAGTACAAATGGTGGCTTTAAGCCTTGGCGATTTTGAGAGTTTTGGTTTATGGATTCTGAGTGTTAAACCGCGCGTGAGACAGAGCTTTTATAGAGGGAGATTAACGTATGCTGTCCGCATATGTGAACCGGTGGTCTGTTACCGGACGCAAGCAATGCGTGGAAACATGTCATTTCTGATTAAGTGGACCAATCAGATCGCGAGGCCTGATACCTTGGCCAATCATATTCGACCTCATGTTGGGATGATCTGGACCGTTGGATCTCCCAAAATTGTGTACGTGTGTAGTTAAGATGCAATGGAACTTCGTCTTTCGAGAAACCAGTATCGCTAAGCTAAACGCAACGTATTGGACCAATACCTTTATTCGAAAGGGTATTGTTATTCATCTTATAACTTCAGGTATTTTAGTTCAATTTAACTCATTTTTTATATTGATTATTAGCTTCTTCTTTTTTTAGAGAGATGATTAGAGCATCTCCAACCAATATGTCAAATTACCACATGGACATGAAATGACAAAAATTGAAGGTTAAAATTGCTCTGTAGTCAAATCCTATATGAATTTGAATGCTGGAAGAAATATGTCAAAAATAACATATCAAAAAGTTTGATGTCAAAACTTTATGCATCATATGAACCCCATTTGCTTTTTAAAATATAATAAAATAAGAGTGCTACTAAATGAACCCTAAAATTAACTGAATGCACCCTACTTCCAAATTATTTATTGAATTACTAATTTACCTTATTATAAAATGACCAAAAAAGATATATTGAATTGTGAAACAAATATAATTTTAATAAGTGCAAAGAGGTGTCATTGAATGTTTGTTCGCTGCCCAACAACTCCTCCATTAGACATGAAGGTTAAAGAAATTATTAAGAGACCAAATCTGAAAGTGGAAGACCATCTAACTATTCATAACAATCATTGAAGATATTAGTTGGATCTAAAGTTCAAATATAAGAAGGCATTTGGGAATTAGTTTTCAAGTTTTCATTTGAATCAAGTTTGCAGTAGCTATTAGACCCATATGGCGTGTTGTTGAACTAGTTTGAAAAAATTCGTTATTTGAAGACTAAATCAAAAACCCATTAAGATGAGGAAAAAAAAAGGAATTTGCTGAACAAATAAAAACCCAAATTTGTTCAAATTGACACATTTTAATGTGAAGAACAAAAGCTTTAGAAGAAATTAAAATATGATGTGGCAAATTAGATGTGATATAGTGTATTAGGGTGTACCAATGGTATTTTTGGTAGTTAAATAGGGTGTACTTAGTTAATTTTACATTTTGATTTAAATGTTAGGATGTACTTAGATCATATGGTGTACTCAGTTAATTTTAGGGTTCGTTTAACATATGATATTTGAGAGTATCTCAAACCAATATATCAAATTGCCACATGGATATGAAATGACAAAAATTGAATGTTAAAGTTGCTCCAACCGAATAGTCAAATCCTACATAAATTTGAATGTTGGAAGATATATGTAAAAAATAACATATCAAAAAGTTTGATGTCAAATATTTTTTTAGTCATGGACCCCACTATCATTTACACTCTTTTAAACTTTATGCATCATATGGGTCTCATTTGTTTTTTTAAAATATAATAAAATATTATGATATTTGGCATTTTTTTAAATTGCCACATAAGCCATCAAATTCAAATTTAACATTTTGCATTTGATATCTCCCTTGGAGATGCTCTGACATTTTAGGTTGAGTTAATTTTTTTCCAAAGTATCAAATTGCCATGTAAACCATCATTCGTAATTATCGTTGTGTGTTAATTCTCTCCACATTGTAATTATCATTCGTCATGCAGCTGTGTATAAAAGGGTTATATTGTATTTCTTACCATATGCTAATTGATAGTTTATACGTAGCTAAACATACTATACTTAGCTGGCAGGAAGGGGTCTAAGCAGTTTGATTAAGCTGAGTAAATATAATTCAGCCTTGCTTTTATCTGCAAATAGAAATTTACTTTGCTGTTGTGTGCATTTTTTCAGCCGCCAGCATTCCATTTCTATATTTAAATGGGGAAAAGGTAGGTGGCATTCATGGATCTAATCTAACAAGTTGCAAGATATTTTTGCAGAGCTTTACACTACAGGTAATTCATTTCTTCTTTACGTTACATTTCGTGCTGTTGCATATATTGGTGCCTATTGGTATTTTTTGACAGTTCAAGTTAAGTTTTCTCCGAATGTGATCACTCTATATGTTACGCAATCTTTTATTTCTATCTTGTAATATATGGATGAATTCTACATCATAGTTACTAGACCCTATTACTGATGTGTACTTACGAATGTTGTCCCGGTCGAAGCCACTCAACTATGGGTTCATCTGGGATGGGGGTAAGGAGAGCTGAAGTGTGAGGGCGTTATCACAATGGAGAGGCGCCGCAACATCGTCACAACTGAGAGGTGCTGCGGCGTTGGCACAAGAGAGTGGTGGCCTTGTTGCGGCAGTTGAGAGTAGCATTGCACCTTCACTTGATGAAGTGATGCAGGCTTCCGAATCTTCACCTGGGATGGGGGACATGCCGATAGTATTTTGTGGTGGTTTGCAAGAGGGCTATTTAAATATCAACCTAAGAAGATAGTGGTGTTTTCTGAAGTGCAAGGTCTTTACTTCAAGGGTGCTTGGCAAGCATGAAATGGCTGAGGAATAAGTTGGATGGGTGCACGTCAATTGTGAATTATATTATGCTGTTGTTGACATTATGGTTTGGACTTGTACATCGGTTTCAATTTGGATCGATTACCTTATGTTGTACAATTACTTGGATAATTGCAGTAGGTTTGACTGTTATTTGGATAATTGTCACATATTTACCCCCTGGTTCCTATAGTTTTAATTTTGTCAATTTTTTCTCCATGGTCTCAAATTTTGTAAAATTCCTTCAAATTTCTTAAGTTTTGATTGTGCCCCTCACACGGAGGGATATTCCAGTTCATTTGAGCCTATCTATTGGTAAAACACAAGCAAAATACCCTGCCATGTGAGAGACAATGGTCAAAACTTAACGGATTTAAGGAATTTTTGACTGAAATTGAAATTATTGATTTTTTTGGGAACAGTAATTTGGCATGCTATGCTGTTTCATATACCACAACCAAATTCGGATTGTTTGGGATGAGGGATAAGGTTGGCTATGTAATATAAAGTTAATGATTAAAAAAGCAGTGCATAAGTTGAAGGAAAACAGTTGAACAAGATGTGACAATCATTAATCTAATGTTTACCCGTATGAGATCATTGAAATGTTGGATCAATGCATGTAAAAAGATTTTGTTGACGATTACCTCTTGTTTTTTTTCTCTTCTTGTAATTGTAAAGGCTTAATTGTTATAATACTCTTTCGACCAAAAAATAAATAAAAATTGTTACATTACTCCTGAAACTTCGCTCAAATCCCACATTGCAAATTGGAAGTTAAAGTGATCCATTTTGTTCCATTGACCAATGTTTGGTATATCACTTCCCCCTTACCGATAACTTCATCCCAAACTCTATTAAAAGCGATGATGTTGCATGGTTATATTAGTAAATTTGTACACATTAGCCATTTACTCAAATTAGAGTGGATGATATGGCAAAGTAGAGCTCACTTCCAGCATGGATAAAAAATTATTTACTTTTAAATAATTGGGTCAATTCCAGTTTGGGTATCATGTAGTTTCACCTATAAAGCATGTTTTGACCATGTCCTCTCAATTTTAAAAATGAAGTACCCCATCATTGGAAATTTGTTGCGTTGTGGCTTTATTGTTAGGTTGACATCGGGCCAAGCTAGGCCTGCTCTATCCTAAATTTTTTAGTTCGAGTCAGGCTCAAGCCGGGCCTTATGTGATTTTTATTTTATTTTATGGGTTGGGTTGAGGGTTCGAATGTTAAAGCTCAAGCCCACCCATTGGGCCGGTCTCAATGGGATTGACAGGGCGAGCTTGCATGGACCTAGGTGGCCGGGCTCCCATGGGCATAATTTTTCTTAATTTTACTAAGTTTTTTTTACAACTTTTTTAGAAAACATTACATTGAAAAAATTAACTAATTCATAACATATGTAAAATTAAATATATATATATATTATTTCATAAAACATATCACATTAAAATTCATAAAAAAAAAAAGAAAAAAAAAAAAACTAAAGCTCTCGGTAACTTGTAATGTAATCATTATTGTTTTTTTTTCTTTTGTGAACATGGCCCACTTGTGAATATTCAATGTGAGTTGATTAAATTGAAACCGTTGGTAACTTTATAGCCATTTTGGCTATTAGGGGTGGGCGCAATTTGGTTCAGTCCGGTTTTCACCTCAAATCAGAACCAGAATTGGTATTATTTAATCGGTCCAATTTTAGTGAAAAAAAATTATGAAACTGGGCAATTCAATTTGAACCGATTTAGGTCTGGTTGCCATTTTTTCCGATTTTGGACCGAATTTTTTTTAAAAAACAAAGTCCAACAAAAATTTTATTTTTTGGGCTTGAAAATTTATAAATGATCAAATTTCATGCAAAGAGAGATGTTGGGCCTAGAAAAGAGATGTTTTGAAGTTAGGCTTGAGGAAATATTAATTATGAGATTAAAAATGTAGCTTTGGATTTAAAAAAAATTTGTAAAAAAAAACACACAACCGGTCCAATTCGGTTTGTAAGGTGTGAAAGCAGAATCAAAACCAATTTGAATCGGTCTAGTATGGTTTAGTGCCGGTTTGTTAACTTTTTTGGTCAATTGGTTTTTTTTTTTCATCCTGTCCGGCTCGATGTTCTAGTTTTTTTTTTCACTTACGTTTGTCCAAAAAAACACATAATTTACCTGAAACAAGAAGAAAGAGCCCACTTTTTCTTTGTCTTTTTTACTTTTTGTTAAGACCTTTTATTATTTCAGTCCACTTTATTTATTTTCAAACATGAGATGACCAAAACGACGATTGATACCAAGAAAAGGTTACTCTGTTTTCATCCAAGTCACTCAACTATTTACCAAAATATATTCCGGGTTTTAGCAGTTCACAATGAGTAATGAGATTCAAATTTGGATCTTCATATAATTTATCCACAAAAATAAAATAATATAGTCATATAAGGCTGCCTTGTTCGTAGGGCATTATTATTATTACAATAATAATAGCTAGCTAGACTACAAGTCTACAACCTTCTCTTCTCTTTTCTCACAGACGGTACGCCTCCGGCATAAAGCTCCCCCAAGTGGGGATAAGTTCTTCTAACTAATTTACTAGTACGGGACCCAAGTCAATTTCCTCATGCCACGCGTTCCACTTCGAGAGAAAGACATAATCTTAAAGCATGTCACTTCGGGCTCTTCCGCTGGAACAAGTGGTGGCCTTCGACTTGGCCGTCGACTCGTGAGAGTAGAAGTGGAAGGCGCCGTGTGGTGTTGTCAAAGGGCCTAAACCACATATCCAACCTTTTTATCTAATCTTTTCTGTACAAACAATAGACATAACCTTATTGGTCTGTGTTCCTATATGACTTTTCGATGCACAAGGTTTTGTTTATTTTATTTTTCTTTTCATATTGAAATGTGTTTTTAGTAAAATCAGTTACTACACAAAAGCAAAACTAAAATTTCCGAACCAACCTTTGCTATCAACATTCAATAACTATGCTATATACACAAAAGCAATCGTCGTTTTGGTCATCTCATATTTGAATATCAATAAAATCCCTAAAATTAGGATAATTTGAGAAAATTTGAATTCATAGGAGATATGTGATTATGATTCCTATTATTATGATATTTGAATGTCAATAAATCCCTAAATTCATGGATTCTGATGACCTCAATTACTATTTTAATGACATATTTAGCATTATTGTTTCGTAATAAATGGAAACGTTGAACAAATACAAGTAATAATACCAGCTGGACAAATATTTTTAAAAGTAAAAGTTTTTTTTTATGGCTAAAACTTAAATTTCCTTTTAAATTTTTATGAAAGTTGAAAAATAATTGGGTGGATATGTATAACTAAAGTAAATTATAAGCTTATTGACAAAAAAAAAACAAAAAAAAGAAGAGTAAATTATATACAAATTTATAAATAAACCCGATCCTAAATCAATTTTTAATTATTAATTTATTCAAAGAAAAGACGAATTTACCTCGGGAATATTTTATTGGGTCAAAAGTTGACTTTTTCTTTAGGAAGGAATTTGAGAATTTCAGTTACACTATTGCATAGAGCACATCAAAATGAGTCCGTAAACATATAGTGGGCTCAAATTGGAGTTGTAATGAAAAAGTTACGATCAAAAGAAATTCAGTGGTACAATCATAATTTTCGAGAAGTCAGTTTTTTAAAACCAGATCTCTCTCCTCTCACGTAGAATTAGACCTCTCTCTCTCTCTCTCTCTCTCTCCTTTGTTCATCTCAGCCGTGACATCACATGTTTCGGCAGTGATTCCGGCCACGTCCGGCCGTCCCCAGCCACAATTTTGGATCCATTCTCTTCGTCTCTCTCCCATCTACACATCTATACTAGTTTCTAGCCCCAAATCTAAGAAAAATTAAGCCAAAACTCAAGCCAAACTCAGCCCAAAATCGGGCAACTTTTAAACAGTGGGTTTTGAGCTCTTTTCCGGCCAATTCCGGTCGCCACAACTCAGGTTTTTAAGAGACAGAAAGTTTCGTTCAAGGGTTTTAAAGGTGGAATTGATCGTCGAGCCAAGGTACTCGGGCACCATCAGACCCTCAGGAGGGACCCTCAAAGGGTCAGGCTAGCTCGGACGTCCAGTGAGTGGACTTTTGTTTTATAAAGGATTTTATACAATTAAAGTTTTATTATTTGATCTTGAATGAGTTATTATGAATTTTACTTTCCAAGCATGATTGTTTGATTTCGAATATTTTTATTATATTCTGTTTATATTTAAGTTGAGCATGGCTTGGAAAGTTGGAAAGATAGTGGCAACATAATTTAAGGATGGATGAGAAATAGTTTTTATGATTTTCCGGGAAATGTTTTAAAACCACCATAGGTACCCATGTTGCCTTCAGAATAAATTGTTGCCTTCGGTTATGATAATGTCCACAGACATAATAGTTGCCTTCGGTTGAGTCAGTGCGCGTTTGACAATGCCCCAAGAGTTTCGGGGACGCCCTAACCGTGCGAAGCGAGGAATGCGAATCAGGTTGACTAAATGTCCCATGAATCTTGAGAGGATTGCGGCTCGGGTCAACCTTGTGTTACCGAGACCTGCGAGGATGTGTCACAAATTATGACACTAAGAATTGACGATATAATGTGGGAATTGACGAATATATGATGGGTACACCTAGGTGGAAAGGAATTAATATTTTATAATGCTTTCAAAAGTTTTCGATGATTTGTTTGAATGCTTGATCAGTTATATGTATGTAGATATGCATGCTTGAATTTTATTACGAATACAGAATATTGAGATAATCGGATTTCCAAATGTTTTAACAGTAGGGTTAGTTTGTTCATATTCTATTTTCTAAAACTTTATTTTTGTCCACTCACATTTTTAAATCTTTTGTGCCCCCAGGTA